CTGGGCGGCGGCACCCGCAGCAGCGCGGGGCGAGGCGGCGGCAGCTTCGTCCCGCCCGAGACGTCCTGGTCCGCGCCCGCCGCCTCCTTCACGGCCCGGGCCGGACTCGGGCTGCTCGCGGGACTCTCAGGCCCTCGCTCCTCCGCGGGGACCTGCGGCTGCTCCAGCCCCGGGACCCGGCCGTCCAAGGGCTCCATTGGGACCTCGGGCCCGGCTTGGTGTGCTCCCGATGCCTCCCGGGCGCACTCCACCCGGCGCGCGGGGCAAGCGAGAGACGCAGAGCGGAGCGCTTCTGTCCCAGCTGGGGAGTCTGCTTCTCCTCCCGCGTCGGGTTTGGTCGAGCCGGCGGGTGGTGCTTCTTTCTCTCGGCCGCTCCCAACCGAGGTCCCCGCTGGGATTGGCTGTGGCTAGGACCATCTGGCCACGCCCCTTCAGGCCACCGGCCCCGCCTTCCCTTGGCACGCGGGAAAGAGAGCGGCAGACGGGCTGTTTGAGGGGTCACCCGGTAGGCCGTAGCTCTCGGGAGAAAGACAGCCGGGAGCAGACGCGTAAGGGCGAACCCAGACCCTGGCCTGACTCTTCCCTCCTCTTTCTTCCTGGCTCCACCCATTTCCCCCTCCAGCCCTCTGCCCTTGTGCTGATTTTGAGAATTACACCTGGGGCGGGGAGCGGTTGGCCAAGTTTGGAGAGATCCTGGGACCTCAGAAAAATCAGCGGGTCTGAAGGAATTGGGGGGGCCTGCGGAGAAGAAGCAGAGCAGGTCGTCCCGACAGTGTAGTGGGGATTGGGGCGCCACACCAGAGAGGACTCCTCACGGCAGAAGTCTCAGGCCAGCTACTCTGGAGGCCGGACTCCTACTTGCTTAACTTATTAAAGACTAAGGAAAAAATAAGCATAAAAATGTGTATTTTCACGGAGAGAGGAGCCTGGTCCCGGGGCAGCGTGGTGTGGTGGAGTGCCAGGTTCCCAACCCTGACAAGCGATCTGAATACCATTTGAAAAAATACAGATTTCTGTTTGGGCTCTACCCAGATCTACTGAATCTCATAAGGGGATGAGGCCAATGGTATTTTTATAAAGTGCCCCAGGGTAGGATTGACAGACAAAATATAGGCCAATCAGCTAAATCTGAATTTCAGATAAACCAGAGATAGGTTTTTTTAGTACAAGTATGTCCCGAGTGTTGTGTGGGATATACTTATTTTTAAATTATTTTAAATAGAATATTATTAAGTTATTTAAAATTTCATTAATTATTATTATTAAATTATTAAAATAAAATTATTTAAAATAAAAATTTAAAAATTATTCGTTATCTAAAATTTAACCTGCCTCCTATATTTTTATTTGCTAAATCTGGCCACCCTACCCCAGGACTTCAGCTGGAGTGGTCTCAGGAGCTGCATTTGGAAAGACCATGGCCTTCTTACTCCGGGGGGAGAGGGAAGGAAGGAGAATGCGGAGGGAAGGATCTTAGGAGGGGAGTTGAACTACTGGAAGGGATGCTCCCGAAGACAAGTAACTGAGAGAAAAAGTCCAGCGGAAAGAAAGTGCTATATGAAAACATTTTATGTTTAATCCCTTCAGAAACCCAGACTACATAGTTAATATGGGGACATATATAAGCATGAAAATGCATTCTAAAAGATGTGGAATGATACACCCCAAAGTGATAATAGTGGATTCTGCACTAGATTGGTTGAGGGTGCGTGGGGGGATAGTTTAGGAGACTTTAACCTTATCTATAATGTTACCACTTTCTAGAAAGAGAATGTATGTATATTCTTAAATAAAAATTCAATTTTTTAAAAAAAGATGGCATACTGTAAGTTATTTTTTGGGCTAATGAAGATTACTGTAAAAATTAAAATTGTTAATATAAAGGAAAGCTCTCTCCCCTCCTCTGTTTCACCTCTCAGAGGCGGCCGCCATCCCTGCTGAGACTGGCTGCTTGCCCATTTTCAGTGTGGTTCCGAGCTGAGAGTGAGCATTCTGACTTGCTTTCCTGCTTAAATCTCTTCTCCTGGGATGAAGATTATCAAATAGTTTATAAAATCAAGGATCTTTGGCTCAGAGAGACTCAGTGAGGAAAACACAATGTGCATCGCCCTCAGACACGCTCCCTCGGCCCGATGGGGGATCCTCGAGGCCTGGCTCCCCTGGCCACAGGCCACTGGCAGGGGCTCCTGACTCAGAGCCACCCAGGGGCATCTAAATCCCGCCTTGAATCTGAACTGAAGCACAGTGCTTGCGGGAAGTGGGTGGTGGGCACTGGTGCTGAGGGGTCAGGAGTGGAGAGAATGCTGGCAGCAAGAGGAGTGGGCAGTGGCAGTGGCAGTGGTCTCAGAATGGGCCCTGGCCAGTCCCTCCAGCCTATGTCCTGGATTCTGTCCCCTCCTGTCTGCAGTCATACTTTCATCTCAGCAAAATTTACTGAGCACCTATCTTGTGCCTGGCATGTGGGTATTCAGCCAGGGCACACCCTAGGGAGCTTGCACCACAATGATCTCCTCTCCCTTTAATCTCTCCCTTTCCCCTGGTTCTTTCCCATCATCTTTAACACGATCAAGTTGTAAATGCCTCCTTGGACCCTACATCCTCCTCCAGCTGACACCCTATCTATTTCCTCCTTGTCATGACCAACTTTCTTTAACGAGAGAATTGTCCCCGCTCTCTCTTTCCATTTCATCACATCCCAGGCACTCCTTAAACCACTAGTCTGTTTCTATCTCCACTAGCCTGCCAAAATTCTCCCTGCCAAGGGCACCCATGTCACCAAATCCAGCAGACATTCTTCAGTGCTTGCTTTATCTCTCAGAAGCTTTTGACATGGTTGATCATTTCCTCTTCCCCAAAACCCACACATCTGTGGCTTTCCTAACACCACACTTCACTGGTTTTCCTCTACTCCCTGAGGCTTCCCACTCTCCGTTAAGTCCGTGACTCTCCAGCCCAGATCTTTTTCCTGACCTTGACTGTAACTTATACCATGGGTTGAATTTTGTCTTCCCACCCTGCCCAGCCCCAAATTCTTATGTTGGAATGCTAACCCCTAGAGCCTCAGAATGTGACCTCATTTGGAATTAGGGCAGTTACAGATGTAATTAGTTGAGATGAAGTCACACTGGAGTAGGGTGGACCGTAATCCAATATGGCTGGTGTCCTTATAGAAAGGGGAAATTTGGACACAGACACACACAGGGAGAACGCCTTGTGAACATGAAGGCAGAGATCAGGGTGATGTGGCCACAAGCTAAGGAAGGCCAAAGATGGCCAGCAAACGTCCAGCAGCTACGGGAGAGGCCTGGAACAGATTCTGCCTCACAGCCCTCAGAAGGAACCAACCGGGCTGACGCCATGATCTCGGACTTCCAGACTCCAGAACTGTGAGAAAATAAATTTCTGTCGTTTAAGCCGCTCAGTTTGTGGCACTTTGTGACAGCAGCCCTAGCAAACCAGTACAAGTCACTTGTTCAGATGGTTGCCTGCCCTGTGGACAGCTCTCTGGACGCACAGGTGGTTTCTGCCACCAAACCTTTCACCATGGCGAACTCAGCTGGGCCATGCAGATTTTCCCTCCCAGGAAATTGGCTCTTGATGTGAGAGGCCCAGGGCCGGGAGTTGTCACGCCTCCCAACAGGGCAGCTTTCTAGAGAGAAGGCCCACCAACTCCTCTTCAGGTCCCTGGAGCTTCTCTGGTTTCAGCCCCTCCTAAAGCTGGCTTGTGGATTTCATGGGACCCTGGACTATCCTTCCCCTAGCTCCCTTTTCTTGCCTTTAATTAGCATATCATTTACCAGTCTGACTGCAAGTGGCAGAAAACCCAAGTCCAACTACTGGCTCCCTGGGGCTCTCTCAGGACGAGGACCAGGCTTTGCCACAGTCTCCATCGCGCCTTCCTTGGCAGAGCCACAGCAGCCCTGGCGGCAGAAAGCTGTTTACAACTTCTATGGTGGGGACCCTAATGCAGGTGAATTACTCAAATGTTTCAAGGCGGTTCAGATGCTGGCTGGCCCCAAAGAAGGACAATTATCCACTGCAGTCCTTCTTGCCATCCTTCTCGCTCACTTTAAAATCCTTTTGTTCTGCTTACAACAGCAATATATGCTTGTGATACAAAATTTAAATATTATAGAAATACTGTAGAAGGTGAAAGTCCCCAGCATTTCATGCATCAGAGACCTCCATTATTAACATTTCAGTATACAATCTTTGGGATTTTTTTTCTAGGCATAGCCTAACCTATATTGTTATTATATGTACCTATATTTATTTACAAAACTTCACTCATATTAAATGTATGCCTATACCTAATTTATTTAAGCAGTCTCCTACTGGTGGCCATTCGAGTTGTTTCCATTTGGGTGACATAATTACTGCAATGCTCCAAATGCTGCAGTTATAATTCAGTGACCATCCTTGCACATTGTTTTTAAAAAATCACATCTCTGATGATATCTTCAGAATAGATTCATTAAAATGGGACTGCTGAGACAAAGGGTGATCACAGTTTCACATTTGATGGACAGGGCCAAAATTACCCAAATGACTCACAAGAGGCTGAACAAACAATGATGAGAGACTGTTACCCACAATCTCTCCAGACTTGATATTATCAGCCTTCCTAGTCTCTACCAATCCAATGGGTGAAAATATGAAATTTCAACTTGCATTTCTTTAGTTATGAATGAGGTTGAACATCTTTTCATTTGTTAATGGTGTCATGAGAGGCATCTCTGCCAGTCTCATGACAGCTACTCAGGGGCCTGTGTAAAAGGCCCCTGAGATTCCCTCTAAGGCCAGTTCCATATCACCGACTGGCTCCAGGAAGTGGCTCAGCAGGACTCCCTGTCACCCACTCCTGCCCCCACTCTGCACCACCCACTGGTCCAGGGAGGCTGATGGGATCTGGCCTGTCTGAACAGACTAAGAGTTAAAAGAGCATAAACTAAACCAGGGCTGGCTGCTCCTAGAGAGGACACAGACATGCCCACCTTCTGGTGATGTCACCCCCGATGGCATCCTGGGCCCTTCTAGGGCCCCTGGACACACAGATGACCGGGGGAGGGAGGTTTCTGCACAGACAGTTCCCCGGCGCTGTCCATCCTCAGCTCACATTCCACATGCTCAGAGGCTCAGGGGCACCCAAGCCAGTGTCACTCCCAGCCCTGGTCCCTGGTCCTCACCCCTGGACAGCCCCTCCCCTGTGGACAGCACCTCCCCTGTGGACAGCCCCTCACCCGTGGACAGCCCCTCACCCGTGGACAGCCCCTCCCCTGTGGACAGCCCCTCACCCGTGACAGCCCCTCCCCTGTGGACAGTCCCTCCCCTGTGGACAGCCCCTC